TCTCTGACTCAATGTAACATCGATGCTTGTGGATGATAATAGGTTTCCAAGTGATATGGGATGGGATGAAGATGAAATGTTTTTAACTATATTTTGACCATTGAAATGACTTAATTTATCAATTTTGCAGTTATATTCGATTGTATAAGGTGCACTTTGAACATATTTTGACGCTGTCTGAGCTGGGGATGTGACGTCACCGATATCGGAATTGTACCGTGGTGCAATTGTGGTTGGTATGATAAATTGAATATGATCACCATCAATTAATTCTAATTCTTGTACATAATGAATTTCAATTTCACACGTTGTCTGTGATTTCAAAGCGCCTGAAGAAAATATCAGAAAATTGTATTAGTCACTTTTCTTATAAAACCAAAATTCTTGCTTAATGAAAGTTTTTTTCAATCTTGAGAAAATGTCGAGCAAAAACCGCTCAAAGGAAATTTCATATTTTTTGAAATTACTTACCTATACTAATAGTAAATATATCGTTTGATTTGTCGTTTTGTTCGAGAAGATATGCTCCATGTCCTTGTCGAATTGCACTGGTATACGTGTTTTGTGCTTCTTTAAGCTCTTTTAATTCAGCGTGAATTTCTCGATCATCAACGCGTGCAATAAACTGATAAACTGATGCACTTTCCTCAATCGGAAAACAGTAGACAGCTTCAATTGGTGTTAACTCCTCGTTTGTAAATGTTTGTCGAATAATAACATCGGCTGCAAATGATCGAATGTGAGATATAACAGTTACACTTTTCAGTGGAACGTATTTTAACTGGTCTGAAACGATTTTCAGCATTTTTGAATGAATGCGTAAACCTAGAGTGCTGCGAGAAAATGAGCGTCTACTGGTGGATATTTTGTATTTATACTGAATGAAAAAAGAAAGACTGTTTCGAAACTATCCTTGTATTGTGTAATTCTAAGCGGAGCTAGTTTCACTAAAACTTGAGCAAACAACGATGTACGAGGGACACATTATAACCGTAGAATCCCGTCGTGCACTAAACTAACAGTTCGTTGTGAAAGAACGATAAAGTAATGACGACTATCAGTCTATCGTTCTTTCTTAGTCATCATGAGTTTATTAATCATTCTTTCACAATACATTTATTTAGTTAGAAAGAAAGAGGAAAAGAAAAAACTGTTTTCTTTCTGAGATATTGTACTTTACGGAGGAACATGCACATTCAATCCTTGAAAAAAATAAAAATCTGTTTGGTGTATCTATTTTTACTAGTTTACCTAGATTTATTAATAATATTTATTTACAGATAGAATATAGATGGATAGATGATAGATGGAGCATGTATGCATTCAGCAAAGTAAGGTGCTCCGAATTGAAAGTCTATGCATCATTTTGTTTTTGGCTTAATCATACATCATTCCATAGAAAATTTCACGCTGATCAAGAATATCTGGTTTTCAGTCTTCCCGGTGCACATTATCAGTGAAAAAAGTTCAAAAAACTACAAGGACCTGTTTTTCGAAAAATGTAATAAAAGTATAAATCGCTTTTTTTGAAATTCTTTTTCGTTGTTAAGAAAATTTATTGTTTTTGTAAATATGAGGCGAAAATGTCTCTGGTCGTAATTCTCGATTTCGGCCCATTTCGAGCCTAAAAAATACTTGACAAGTAAATTTACTTGGAAAAGTTTACAAGTATTGTCCTCAGGTTAGCCCAAGTACTCGGCTCAAGTACATTCACCAAGGAAGGCGTACAATAGCTTATATTGTACAGAATTTATTTTTCTTTAACCCTCTCATATTGAAACGTTTTGAGACAAACGCTAAGTAGTCGAAAAATGGAATTAAAATACATATCGTGAGGGAGAGATTAAGTAAATCGTTTTAAACATTAAAATACCTCCATAGTTTAGCTCCTCGATACAATTTTCTCTGCTCTTTCGAATGGTAAAGTTGCAAAAACGTCAACTCGCATTCAGATGTTAGAAGTCTGCTTTTTCAAATTTTTCACTTTTTCTACTTCAAATTAAAAATTTTAGAATCCAAAAACGTGATTTATGAGAAAGTCTTTTTACGAGAATGCAGTCCTTAGAATTCTCTCTCGAATCATATTATTTTTAAATTTAGCAAAAATCTGTTAACCAGAGAATTATGGGAAATAAACGAAAAATAAAAGGAGGTTCTATAATTGTGCTACATGACGTTTCCGACGTATTCACTTCTTCTCTGCTTTGTCTGGCCTACCCAAGAGCGTAAAAACGGCTAAAAAGACAGGGTCCGAAAACTAAAAAAAACGGCCCGTAATATTTCTCATTGGACGGGTCCGCCTCCCATTCGCCACGGGATGACGGGGTCTGAACGGTTCAAAAATACGGGTGTCCCGTATAACTACACGTTCTGCATCCAAGAAATACGGGGTCAAGAAAAATGATTTCTTATACCTTCGAAGCGTCGTGTGGTTACTTGTTCTACTCTTAGACGCCTTGACATGTAAAATTAACTTTTGTGTATGTTCCACCTTGTTGTTAGGCAGTCATTTTCTGCTCGAAAAACACGTACACCATTTTTGGGGTAGAAACGCGTTAAATTTTTAAATTTGAGAAAATCTAACAATTAAATTCAAAATTGAGCTGATTC